CCAAAAAAAGCCCTGAGTAGGACACATCCCCATATGCGAGGCATGACCAATTCTAGCTCCTATTTGTCCAAGCATTGAGTACTCTGATATGGAACTGTGAAAAAAATTCAAAAAATATGTCAAAAAAGATATTTTTGAAAATTTGCAAATAAAACAGACATCAGCGCAGACATAAAATCAAATTTTATTTAAATAGAAGTTAAAGTTAGAAAATTCTCTGCAGACAATCAAACAGTATATGGCTTAGTGTGTGACATATTATAATATATGCAGTATAATGTATACATATTATATATTAATACATGTATATTAATGTATATTTTATATAAATAAAAATATGGCTAGAATAGTATATAAGTAAGAGCCGAGGTGGCACAGCAGTTAGAGTGCAGTACTGCAGGCCACTTTAGCTGACTGTGTTCAGCAGGTCAGTGGTTCAAATCTCCCCGGCTCAAGGTTGACTCAGCCTTCCATCCTTCCGGGGTAGGTAAAATGAGGACCCAGATTGTTGGGGGCAATGTAAATATATATATACATTGCTTACTGGTGTACACCGCTTAGAGAGTGCTTGCACTTAAAGTGGTATATAAGTCTCATAAATAAATAAATAAATAAATAAATATAACATGGATGTGAAATAGATCCTGCTACCAACATCTCTGAGTATATGTATGTACTGGATCTATCCATGCATGCCCTAATATATAAAAAAGGTATGGAGAGATATAATAGACTATATTCACATAAACTACAATTGATTAGATTTTTCTTAATTACTAGATTTACTTTTTATCCAGGAATTTATTTGATTTACACAAGAGAAATCAGAAATAAATGTAACATGAACGATAAGAATCAGGAAAAAATAGCAAAAACATACTAATAAAATGTTTAGCCAATAGTTATGAATAGTCAGCATCTAGAAAATTGCATTTACAATGGTGAAAAGATGTGATATACCATTAGATCCATCATTATATTACTGTAATACTAAAGAACATGTCTGCCAATTCAACACCAGGAAAACAACAACCAGATTTTTGAAACAGGTGACATGAAAAATCCTAGAATTGAAGGAGAAACCTAAAAGTTCCAGAATATAAGGTGAAGTGCCTGCCCACTTGAGTATTTGAGGTATGGCATGATACCATACCTCAAACCATACCAGGTATGGTTTACTCTGGATCAATACATAAATAAGAGCACCCTCCTTTTTTTACTGCATGAGGAAAAAGATTTGCAAAGCACGTGACAAGCTCTGTACCTTAGATCTGTTTGCTCAGCGGCCTGAGGATTTGACTGAATAAAGCAAGAATAGAGAAAGATGCAGCAGCAGCATTGTTAGTCACTGAAAAGATCCAGGGCGCAGGGTCATATAATACAAATGTGTGGAAATGCATTTATTTATCATGTACAAACTTGGAGGTTAGTATGGAAGTATAGTACAGAAATGTACATATTTCACATAATGTAAGCATGGCTCCTATATAAGTTAAAGCCTCAATATTCCCTTTTTCAGAAATTAAGCACTGATCACACTTGTTCTGAATCAATTACATCAGGATCACATGATTCTGTTCCCCTTCAATAGTTGTTTTGCCTATTTTGTTTCCTAACTTTTTTGGGGGGGGGTTATGTATTCAGTTCTTAGGCAATTGACGAAGACACATGATGAATTAGTAATCTCTTTATTGATCTTCTCCTTACAACCAAGCAAGAACCAAAAGGCACGCAGGCCTTTTATAGAGTCCTGAAACCAGATAGTGTCAGCCAATAAGAAGCTGGCTGTTTTCGCGCCTTGCGCATGCGCACAAAGCTGGCAACAGTCAGTCTGGTCCCAGGCAGCTTTTGGTCTGCCCGGGACCGTATGCAACATTTCTGAGCCTGCACCCCTCCCCCCCCCCAGATAAGACAATATACCTTATGATGTAACAGCACAGGTACATGTGTTCAAGGGACTGGGGGTTAGTGGAAATCACAATAGTCTGCACACGGTCCCGGGCAGACTAAAAGCTAAAAACAAATAAAATTTCTTCTGTTCTGAATAGTATGGAAACAAGAGGAAAGGACCTGATTGTTTTACACATAATTTATGACATTCATATATTTTAAATCTGGTAATAATTTAATACTGAAAACACAAGTGTTATCATGACATCCATATCATAATTAAAAATGTAGACACTTTGATAATGTAACATGGAAGGTAAAGTAGGTGTTTCAGATTTATTGGGTAGATGTGCATACAAATACAGTTTATTCACTAGTCAACAAATGGTGTCTCTCTACCAGGAGAAAACATATAATGCCCTCTGAATATTTTGCATTACAACTCCCACAACTCTCAGCCACCATGATCTATAATCTAGGATTATGTCAGTTATTGTCCAAAGTATCTAGATAACACCAGATTGTCAATTCTTGATCTACAGAATATGCCACAAGACTCACATAAAGACTTATTAATGCAATGATTTACAACCAAACCTCCAGGATCAATTGTGGTTATAAGTCAAACACTATCTCTGTATGAATACCTTTATCAATCAACTATTATTCATACATCTATGTAAATCTTACAAATTGACAGAAAATTTCAACATAAAGCCTCACTGAGGTTCATCCACAAAAGGGAATGACAGGAAATGTCATAAAGAATGCTTTGAGCAATACAAAAGTTCTCTGTCAGTGTGGTTTTTCAGTGCGATGCAAGAAACATTAAACACCCATTTTCCACATTAGTCAGTTATTTTACAATTTTTATAGAATTTTAAAGAATATCCAATGAAAAGATCATGTATTAAGCCAAAGGCTCAGTTAATGGCAAAACAGCACTTTTTATTTTTTGGTTTTGTGAAACAAAGCAAAATATTGTTAAAGAAATTTAAACATCCCAAAAGCAATTTTTCACTAGGATTTATAAGATGTTACAATATAGTTAATTATTATAATGTTCACAAGTAAATACAGTTCCAAGCACATTTATCTGGAAAAATTATCTCAAAACATGTAGAGGGTTTATTTTTGAATAAATAAAGAAAAAATAATTATTGTCTTACAAGAATATTTCTGAAAAGTCAAAACATTGAACATTGGAGTCTGGCAGCTTGTTACTGTACAAGACACATGAACATTACAAGTAATAAAAAAAATCAATGGTTCTGTATATATGTTATATTTTTTAAAAAAGAGAGAAAGAATTGAAAAACACTTTTAAAAAAGAAAATGCCAAAAGACAATTCTTGGAAAATCCCAGATATCTGGCTGCCAGAAAATTTAAAATATTTATATAGCAGCCTATAAAGAACTGGCTTTTGCAGACTTTAATTCCTGTGAATTTGAAGCAATTCTCCATATGGAGTATACCAATACTTTCTCCATTGTTGTCCAAATATGCTGGGACATACTTGGACAACATAGTTTAAATTCCCAGCCAATAAAGGTGGGTGCTGGAAATGTTGGGAGTTACAGTCCATCCCATTTGGAACTTGGAAAAGTCAATTCAGGCTATGCCTTTTTGTGAGAGTGATGGCCTACTTAGTATTACCACAACATGAAAAAGCAGATGTCTTTAGTTTTCAATCTCAGGACTGGAGACTAGACAAGGAAACAACAAAAAAGACTTAGAGAAGGCAATGACAAGTCATTTCTGTACTGCTGCCAAGTTAACTATATGATTGTGTTTCTTAACTGACTAGGACTTAGATTAGATTACTTGTAGCAAAGGTGGAACTATCTTGTTCACATCTATACAATATATGGACAAACAGAAGATGGTTTATGCTTCTTTTTCTGAAATGGACAACAGATGTATCTCAGTATTTGAGACCACAGTCTCACTTCCAGATAACTGCATACAAATGGATGTGATTCCAAAGAGTGAAGTCAAACACCGATGTTACATCAGACTTCTGCACCCTTTTTAATGGGCTTGTGTTTTATATAGATGCTTTTAAACACACACACACACACACACACACACACACATTCCTAAGGGGGCAAAATTAAAATTCATGCACAAATATTCATGTAAGGCGTTTTGTTTACAAAAACTTTGAAGGCAGATGTGAAACTCTCATCTACTTGGCCCAAATACAAACCATATATATATTTGTTTGTATTTATGTATGTATGTATGTATGTATGTATGTATGAATGAATATATATATATATATATATATACACACACACACACACACACACACAGAGAGAGAGAGAGAGAGAGAGAGAGAGAGAGAGAGACATACAAAGGTCACATTCCCATTATGAGAATATATACTATACATACCAATTATGATGGTGCCTAGTTGTAAGGTTTTTAGGATATCTTATCAGAACTTTCCACAAATCTTCTGAATTCAAGATAAGTGGAAAGCCACTATTGTACAACAAAGACTTTTCAAAAACTTTGGAAAAGATGCACAAACTTGCCTTAGTGGTTAAGTGCCTAAAAAAGACAAAAGATCTTTAAGCTAGGGGTCAAACACTCAGAAAATAAAGCCTATAACCAAAAGACAAAGAAAAACGAAATCACATAAGGTTTTTTTCTATTAAAGTTGGTGCAGCGAAAGCCCACCACAAATTTAACCGGAGCCCCTGCCATTACTGAACGCAGTGGAAACAATCCAAGCAAGTTACAAACACAGTTAACTTTTTAAAAAGCTATTTTATCCGGAAAGTCTCCAACTCTTGAATCCTTTCCGAGTTTCCCACAGTTAAAAATGCATTGAAAAGCCACTTAATATCGCCGGGTCGTGGATCTCTCCCCGCCTTCCAACTTTTGGAGCTGATGGATCGCGGCCAAAGAACTCGCAGAGCAAAACGCGAAAGTTGCGGCCGGAGCAAACAAAAGAAAGCCCACAGTTGAGATCCCTCCTTGAGGTCCCTCCCCCACCCCTACCCCCACGAGGCCCTCGGGCGGCAAACAAAGGGCCTCACCGAGGACGACCCCGGCATCGGCGGCGCCCTTCTCCCCCGCCCCGAGAGCCGCTCCCACTTACAGGATGGTGGTCTGCGGGGCCACGGCCGGGACGCTCTCCAGCATGAGGTGCATGCAGCGCACCGTGGTGCGGAAGCACAGGCAGCGGCTGGGGCACCACACGCTCCCCCGCTGGAGCTGCGGCTGCGGGGAGGCCAGCGGCAAGAGGAGCAGCAGCAGCGGCAGCCCGCAGCGGAGTCCCGGGAGGCTTGCGCCCGCCCTGAGCCCCGCCATGCCGCCGAGCGCCAGCACCAGAGAGACTGCCAGGGGGCGAGGAGGGGCGGCGGCGGCGGCGGCAAACCTCGCGCTGTCCGACTACCCCGCTCACAGCGCTGGCTGGACGAGCCGCGGACAGAGAGGCTGGGGCTGCGGCAGCGAGCACCTCCCCAGCGCTCGGCCCGGAGAGGGAGGAGGAGGAGGAGAGGGGGGGGAGGCTGGTGAAGGGACCGCCCCGCCGGCTAGCCTGGCTCTGCGATGGATTCCCCTCCGCTCCTCTGCCTTGAGAGGAGCTGGCCTTGCCTTTGGACCCGTCCCTCTTTCCCTCTGGAACAGCCCTCGCGGAAGGCACGGAAGAGCCCAGCGGCGGCCAGCACACCCCCCCCCCCGGCTTGCTGCTGCTGCTTTCCCGCCAGCTGTGAGGAGGGCAAGCGCCGGGAAGATAGGAGGCGGCGCACAGTAGCTCCCCTTCCCTTTCTGCCGCTTGAGAGGAGGACTGCTGAGGCAAAGAACAGAGATTCGTAAGACTGGAAGAGATCTTGGAGGTCTTCTAGTCCAACCCCCAGCTCAAGGCAGGAGACCTTATACCATCCCGGTCAACTGGTTGTCCAGCCTATTCTTGAAAACCTCCCAGGAGGGAAGCCTGTTCCATTGAACTTTCCCGGGAAAACTGTGGGAAAGGGCGGGCTCTTTTCTTTCCTGGCCCTGCTCTTGCCTCGACAACTTCTCTCCCGGGCTGTCTGTTTTGTACCGCTAAGACGGCGCGAAGAGATGGGCGAAAGTAGTGATTGAATGGAAGGGTTTGGGTGTGTGTAGATGTGTGTGCGTGTCCCAATACAATAAAAGAGACTCCTCACGCTGGAAAAAATGCCTCCAAGCCTCTTGGTGATATGATTTCCATCCATGTTTCAAATCCCCTAAAGATGCTTCCTTAGGAACCTTTTTTATCAGTTCTTGGGACTTGGAGTTGGAATGAAAGTAGATGCCCAAGAGATTTCAGACTTTGGGTCCTCCTTATAAAGTAGGCTTGAGGAGGCCTCCTACCTTGTTTGATGTTTCCATTCCTTGAAAGAAAAGTTGTGGCTGCAGAGAACCAAAGTTCCCTCAACATATGAAATAACCAAGATTGTTTTCATTTTTCCAGTTGTTATGGCAATCTTGTATGAGTCAATTCCTTGCTGTAGATCAGGGATCCCCAACCTGTAGGCCAAGACCCACTACTGGGCCGCGGCCACTTGACCACCAGGCTGTGTGAAGGGATGGCCCGTGTATACGCACATGGTAGCGCTGCCCCACTCCCAAGTGTCCCACTGGTGCTAGCACCGCCCATAGCATCCCACCGGTGCTAGCGCCGCCCCATTTGCAGCACTTGCGCCCACGTAGCCCCATTTGAATGTGCTCATACATTCACGTGTGGCCCATTAGTGCACACGTGCACAGGGCTCATTTTTGCCCGTGTGCACACGTGGCCCATTTGCATCCACACACCTAGTGGTGCCTGCCTCCCTTTCTGGTCCACCAAATCAAAAAGGTTGGAGACTTCTGTGCTAGGTGGTAGAGAAAGTGAGAGATTGCGAGAGTGGCTGAGGAACTGTCATAGTATGTTGAAAATGAAGATCACATGACCCAAGCAGCAGTCCAATAAAGAAGCAGCAGCCGCCGGTAGCACTGAAGCAGCCACAATTTCCCCAAATTTTATTCAATCAGGAAACATTGGTCCCAGATTTTGAACACATTCTATAAGTTAGCCCATTTGAAATAATTTGGTTGAAAAATTGATGCAATGATTCACCCAGTTAAAGATCAGAACAATGAGACTTTTAAATAGTATATAGGTTGTGCAAAGATGAAACGAGCTGAAAGCTCCCCATTTACCAAACAACAAAAGTAGGATTTGTCCATTTTTCAAATGGTGACCTTTCAGTTCCTTGTTCCATCTTTGAACAATTCTAAATCTGTTCTTGTCCACATTAAGGTTAAGGTTTTTTAACAAAGAAATTCAGGAGAACCCATAGCACTTCCAAAAATGCAACAGAAAATATGAATCAATATGTAGACACCTTCATAATAAAAAGGACCAATTAGAGAACATTCACAAAACCATCAATAACATTTTCAAAGAACCTAGTTTACTATAGAAGAAGAAAACAACAACTCGCTATCCTTCTTGGACATCCTGATCAGCAGAGATCACGTGGCAAACTAGAAACGCAAGTCTACAGAAAAATCACTCATACTAACCAAGTGCTCCATTACCAAAGCAAGAACCCCACCTCCCACAAGAGATGCTGTGTAAGGACTTTATTTAAACGAGCCCAAACATGCTGCAGCAACCCAGAACAGTAGAAAAAGGGAATGGAGCATCTATACAACATATTCCAACAAAATGGGTACCCACACAACTTTATAAAAAATCCCTGACCCACTCAACCCAATACTGCACGACCAACACAAACCCTAAAAAGAATTACACTGCCATACATCAAGAATATCTCAGACACCACCAACAAACTACTATAACTACATGGAATCAGTGTAACATGCAAGCCAACTAAAGCCCTTCAAAACATCTAAGCAAACCAAAAGCAACCCCCCCCCAAAAAATCTACAACATACAAAGTAAGAACTGCAACAATCACTAGGTAGAACAAACAGGCAGAAGACTGGCAGAAGGCATCCATGAGCACCAAGTAGCAGTCAGAAGGCACAATGAAAATTCTTTAATTTCACAACATATAGACAGATTTAATCATAGTTTTAATTGGGAAAATGTGACAATTCTAGACTAGGCCAAGTCCAAAAATGCCAGGGAATTTCTAGAAGCTTGGCATTCTGACAAATTAGCCATCAATAGACACATAGACATTAACACATCTATAGACTAGAAAGAGATAATCAACCAGCCTAAAAGGGAACAAAAAGACCTCTCCATCTCTCCACCAACAATCAGCATCCAGATCAGCACAGATTAACTCCAAGGTCACCTTCAGACCAACAATCAAATAAACAATACACCAATCAAGAAACTGCCAAAGAGTCAACAATAAACAGCCCAATCAAAGAATCTTTAAAACCACCTACACTGACAGGCAAGCCACCAGAATCCTTACTAGCATTGATGATACTACCTAGTTTGGGTAATGAAACATTTGCAAGAAAACAAGGACCCCTCAAACTCAGGAGAATCATGACTAACTAAAAGGATTCCTGCTTCTCAGCTCTTGAGGAAAAAGTTGGCAGTGGTGGCCTCTGAGCTACTAAAGAGCTTCCAGGATTACTTAAGTCAGGGAAATGCAGCCAGGTGCTGTAGGCACAAATGCATTTTCAGAAGCTGCCCTTGAGATATGCCAGAAAATGCAGAGCATCAGCTTCTAACATTGCCTTTATTTTCAGAGAGGGTTGGATATCTCTGCATTGGTAGAAAACATCCTAGTTTTGAAACTGCCCAGCTTGTAAAAGTAGCTGTGAAGCAGGTATTCTGTGAATAAATAACCAAAGGCTCCCATGGCAGCCGTTTTCCATGCATTGCATGCTATCCAAATTCCATAGGTGCAAAGGAAAAATGCTCATCTGTGCATTACATTCATGCAGCAACAAGATGGAGTTGTTGGTTTCCCTACAGCAGGGGTAGGCAACCTTGCTGGCTTAGGAATTCTGGGAGTTGAAGTCCACGAATCATAAAAGAGCCAAGGTTGCCTACCCCTGCCACCAGTCACCCAGATTTTCTTAAGCCTGGCTCTGGCTACAACTATTCCTATGAACTGAGGAGGAATACAAGTACATGGCATATTCGTTTGCCAAGTTTCCTTTTAAGAGAAGTCCAATATGGAATATGTGGTAAAATGATTAGAGAAGTGATGTTTCAAAAAAATATTGAATTGGAAGATTTTCCTATACATATGAACATGATTGAGTTAATATGTTTTACTCAGGATCCCTACTCTGCACAAGTATTTGAACTATATTATTTGATCTAAAAAAAATCAGTTGTTTTATGAGGTTTAATCATTACACTGAAAGAATAAAGGTTCTAATATACAGAAAAAGTGATGCTTATTGGAATTTTGGAAATTATCTTAGCCAATCAGCAATAAACTATTATGCAGTTATTACTTACCATTTCACAGTTTTTAGAGCAATCACCTGGAAAAAAACCCATACAAATCTGAAACAGCCAAAGTTGTCTGGAGTGGACTCCCCTCCCCCACAGAATCATTTAACTGTGGTAAATTTTCTGCCCCTACTTCTGGCAATAGCAAAGCTTGTCTTTCAACTCTGCAGATAGTAAGGATCTTTAGATGTCTGCAGCAGAAAACATAAGCAAAGAAGTGGCATGTTTTATGTAATTTACATTTAATGACTTAAAATTATGCATAGTATGCCATGAGAAACATCATGAATCCACTTCCAGAGGCAAAGCTGTTTGCTTTTCAGGAGTGGAGATGGGGGTGTTTATCTGATTTTGTTTATTTTATTTATTAAACAAATTTATATAGCACCCAATTCACAATAGGTGATTCCAGATGGCTTATAATTTTTTTAAAAAACACCTCATCCCACACCCCATGGCAGCAAAAATACAAATTAACTACTTGATTGGCTCTATCTCCATTTGTGGTCCCCAGGCCTGCTGACAAAACCAAATTTTAGGGCCTTTCTAAAAAGCAACAGGGTGGGAGCTGAGTGTACCTGGTGAGGGGGGGAATTATGTTCCATAAGGAAGAAGCCACCTTTTCTGTGGTCCCACCAGATAACAATCCCTAAATGATAGTGTGGGAAGTCAGCCCCCAGAGAAAGAAATATTAAAAGGGCAGAATATATTTCCCTAAAGGATTTTAAAGCAGAAACCAACCCTGTCCCCAAGTCTCTCTGTCCCAAACAGAAACCAAGTCTGCAGAAATGCAGATAATTTTGTCAGAAAGACTGGAGTCAGGAAAATGGGATTACGAAGAAAGATCCCTAGAATCAACACCAAAAATCTAAGAGTCATCAGCCATAGCCCTAGGGAAGCAGGATAAGACCCTTGGGACATAACAGGATTAACCCACCACCATCAGAATACCAGAAAGGCACACTCAGACTTGGTCAAAGTTCATACCACAGGAACAACTCAAAACAGAAGGCTCCAGAGGGTATAAAAACCCACTCCCTACATGTGCTCAGCCCTTTTTCTTCCAGAGCCATCTTTCTGTCTGGCTCTCCTCTTCAATAAACTGCAACCTTCTTTCTAAAGCAGTCACCATGTTGTTTATCCCCAGCTTGGACTGAACCATGATGAAGATTTTTCCTTCAACAATAGGATCCATTACATACTCTGCCTTCCTGTCCTGGAGGGGCAGATAGATGTAATAGGGGACAGGCCATCCTTCAGATAGCCTGGTGTCAAGTT